TACTACTTTCAAAACTGACATATTAAGCTGATTTTCATTAGAATGTTATTTCCACACTAGTAAATCAAAACTGATCTAAGGTATTGAGCTTCATCTTCTGGACAAGAATGCCAAGTTAGTCTCTCTTCATAAAAAGCAATCATGATTTAAGGACATTTCATATTTGCCTCTTTTGCCAGCACCAAGTCAGCCTCATCTGAATCTTTCCATTTCATGAGAAACATCAATTCTCAGCTGCTCTCTGTGCCACCAATTATTCGTTCAGGATCAAGACCTCAAGCAAAACCTCTGGGTTTCTCAGCAGCATCTCTTTTTTTCTTTGACTTGCTATCATCAGATTCACTGTCAGATAAAGATTTTCTTTTTGTACCATCTTTTTCTTTACCAGCTTTTTGTGAATTAAGCAATGCTTCAGTTAACTCTGGACAACCTAAATTTTCTCCAGATTCTCATGTATTGTCAGCATCTGTAAATCCCTTCCACTTCAGCAAACACTCCACCTTCCCATTCACCACACGTTGGTCCAGTACTTTTTCTACCACAAACTCTTCAGGTTCTGTTTCCTCAACTTTTTTACTTTTGCCATTTTGTTTCTTTCCCATTTTTTGCAATGTAGTTTTATTGGAGGCCATTTATACTGCAGACTTGAAGAGCTATTGTTATTCACCGCCTCGGATGCTCAGTCACAGGTCCACAGTCTTGGCCTGTGCACCTGCAGCTCCACTCGCACCCTAGCGCAATGCTGTGCTTTATAAAGCCATCAGCCAAACCGAATCCAAGCCTGCATGTGTGCCACCCCAAAGCCTTCTCAGTAGGAAGCCCTTTCCAGAATGTCATGCAAAATTAATAAGAAAGCCCAAGTGTGAGGCTTGCAATACTGTGGGTAGGTGTAAAGAGTTCAGGGTGCCCAGCTGCTGAAGAACAAGCAAATTGGGGTGCCTTTCACCCTCAAAAACATGCTCTGAAGGGAGAATGTTAGCAGGTGAAAAAAGAGTATGCAGACGTGCGCTCTGTGAATACAAGAAAATTTACTGGGAAAAACAAAACAGCCGGGTTTTCTTTTCACCTCAATCACACTACCCTACTAAACCTCTAATGAAGTCGACTGTGAGTCATTTATTCAAGTTTTCTTTCTGAAAAGAGAGTAATAACGCATTTTGTATTCTTTTGTCCTTAAAACTCAAAGGAGGAAAACAGTGAGACTTTTTAATCCCTTGGCATCAATTAACGAAATTCAGGATGGGGAAATAAATTTTATGGCAATCTGTTCAGATCACCAGCCCTGCAAACACATTTTCATGCTTAATTTGCACCTCTTTCCTGCTAGGAAAAGTCAGACTTTGAGTCCTGGTTGTACTCAGTGTCTGCCGGGATGGAATAGCCCGGCTTAGAGCAGCATCTATCATTGTGTGGTTCAACAGAACCAACTGGATCTTCACTGCTTTGTCCCTAAATAAGGTTAAAATTGCCAAAGAAACTGAGCTGTCATTTGCCTGTCTGCTGCTGGGCCTCTGGGGCAAGGTGCAAATTCACAGGTGACGCAGTTCCTCTTGGAGCTGTGCCTAGCAACCGATCTGAAACACAGGGCGCCTTGCACACCCCATCGCCCGCTAGCACAAGTTCCAGTTCACCATGGCATCGGAAGACTTCAGCACAAAGCTACAACCCTAAGCCTCAGGGCTGTCTCACGCTGAGTTACCCAGTAGCTGACGGCTGGCACCCCAGGGGAGTTTTACACCACTGGCTACTTCTGAACCCCCCCAAAAAAATCTTTTCATATTGTTTCTATGCCCCTCCCCCCCCCAGTTTAAGTGTGAGATGAGCACCTTCCCCCAGAACCTGGCGATTCTCTGCTTTCTTCTATGTTTTCATACAGACAAGAAAGGCTGTAGTTTTAGAACACAGGACAGACATGTCCCTAAAGATTTGCCCTTATGCCATCTGTGGTGTCCAAAACATGTCTTCAGGAAGCTTTGTCCTCTGATGTGGGCAAGGTCTAGACAAAAGAAGGTACTCCCTGGCCCTGAGCAGCACCATCCTAACCAAGCCACAGCAAACTGAGAGCCATGACAGGGCATCGCAGGCTTGGCGGAGACTTTCCTCACACGGTTCAAGTCTAATTAATTAGCAGCACCAAGCTACCAGGGGACTTCTCCCAGCCTTTCCTAAGCCAGCTGACTTGGGAAATTTCCCATCTCAAATTTGTTCTCCAAGAAAAAGTTGTCTTCCTGCTTTCAAATCTTGCTCTGGCCCTCATAAATGAATGAGTTCTTGCGAAAAGCAACCTAAAACAGACACTTAAATGAGAACCTGTCATTGTTTGTCATTGCTCCTGGGACTTCTTCAAGGTGGCTAAGAGCAAAAGGAGCCTTTTTATTTTTTTCTGCATGTGGACGGCCCAGTGGTTGGACGGAAGCATGCATTTCGCAAAGCCGGGCTTTGGTGATGAGCATGTCCGGTCTGGCTAATTGGCTTAAGCTCTCATTTTGATCCCTGCTAAATTGTCTCCCAGTTCATCTCCTGATTGCTCCAGGCACATCTGACATACTTTAATAACAAAATGTAAATCAGACACCCCCTCAAACCACCTCCGCTCTATCACATCGCCCTAAATTTGGACTTTATTTCCTTGCTCTATTTGAGCTGTTCTTTTCAATCACATGTCAGTTACCCTCAAAAATGCTGCTCCAGTAGGTGAACTTAACATTGTGCTGTGAAGTTTCCCACTGAAAGCCAGCTCCAGCTCCACACTGTTCTCCCTTTCCCTCAAGGCCAGAAGACCCCAAAGCACAGGGCCACAGCTCGGGAGCCCTGGCACCCAGGTTCCCCCTGCCCAGCTGGCTCTGCACTGCTCCAAGGACAGCTTGTGCCCGTGGAGGTCTGTAGAGGCACTAAGCCCAGTGGCCCAGGGCAGCAACTCTTAAAACTCAATAAATCCTGGTCTCGGAGGAACATTTGGCCAAATCCATGGCTGTGTCCTCCTCGAGTAACCCATCACATGGCAAGTAAGTGTTCTTCTGAAGTCCTTTCCTGCATGAGAGTTATTAGAACCAGATACCACATTTAATTCATCCAACCAAAGAGAGCATTGGGAGGGGCACCAGTGCCCTAACCAGCAAAGAGCTTCTGTTCCACTTTATTGAACATTTTAAGTAGATTTAAGCATCACCGAAAGGACAAATTCCTGCTCCACAAGAAACCCATGCCCAGGAACCTGGAGCCTAGCCAGGAGTAGGGGTCAGAGTCTGGGGTACGGGGCCTGAAACCAAGCAGGGCTCTGGGTGAGGGCTTTCATTCACACGGAAGCTCAAAGCCTGATACTCCCATGAAGGGCAGGGACACATTGAGCAGAAATGCAGCAGGGACCCTCTTCATGGACACAAGCTTCTCCCCAGAGTCCCACCCACCCCAGCTCCCAGGAAGGCTCATGAGGACCACACTGGGCAGGACCCTCAGCAGGAAGTGGGCAACTGAGCCCCAGCCCCAGCGAAGGGCCCTAGCCTGTACTGGGGTCCAGATCCTTCTCTTGAAGGGAACTATTAAAGGCTCTGTAAAGGAAAGCCACCCGCCTGGGCTTCCCTTTTCTTTGGGAGAAAGCTAAGCCAAAATCTCCCTGCAGTCCAGGAGACAGCCCCTCCTCCACGTGCAAGGGACCAGAGGCCTCATCCAGACCCTTGTCCTTGCCTATTTCAGGGCCCAACCTCCTTCTGCTTCCTGCTGGTCCCTCCCTGCCCCCAGCAGGTGGAGAATCCCACAGGCCTTTCCACGTCTGCATGTACCTAGTGGTGACCCCACGTTGCAGCCAAGTCCTGGCTCTGCCACTCACTAGCCAGTGACCTTGAGACAGTGACTTCAGTGCTGCAAGCCTCAGTCACTGCATCTGTCATTTGGAACAACAGTGGCCCCCACTACACACAGCAGCCCGGAGGCTCACAGCAGGGGACACGTGGGAGAGCTTGGCACTCTGCTCAGGAGGCAAATGCTGGCTGTTTGGCTGCTGCTGTCGCTACACTACTGGGGTTGGGGTTGCCGGGAGACCTCTCCTCTCCCACCCACGTCTGCCCTCCCCTCCCTTGGCTCCTGTCTCCAACTCAGCCTCATTCCCAAACTTGATAGTGCTTTTCCATCCTGCCTGTCACATCTAAATCAAAAGTCACTCAACATATAGAAACAGTGAGAAAGCATTTTATTTCTGAAGTTGTTAATTTTACTCTAGAGTCCCCCCAAAAAATCCATCTGTTAAACAAATTTTAAAAAGAGAAGTGCTAAAAGAGCTTTAAAAGTAGTTATTTAAGTGCCAGTCATGAGGAAACTGAAATGGACGTGGCTCCATTCTGTAGCTGAATGAGAATGATTCTGTGTACAGCCCATTTCCACTCCTGGGAGAGGTGGGAACGATGACAATGTTTTTTAATATCTAGGAACGGCCAGTTTCATCCTGTCAAACTGTGTTCTAGGCACACGCACTCAGGAAAGCCACTTCCCACCTGCAATTAGCTGCTCTTCCACCAATGCCCCTTCCGCCTCGAAGATGCCAATCCACCCCAGGATTTCTCCTGGTAGGTCCCCGTTGTGTTCTCCCCAGAGCGCTGATGAGCCCATAGGGCACAGGATGCCACCCAGTGCGGAGCTCCTCGCTCCTACCCAGAGGCTGGGCTTCCCTGGTGCCCATTAAAACTCTGAGGAAGCACACAGCCTCCCCAGGGATGAAACAGCTCACTTTCTCTGTCGAGGTCTGAACCCAGAGCACTTTTCAAAGCCACAATTAAATCAGATGCTAACAATGAACCCATCTCTCTTTCTAAGGCTAATTTTTATAAGTTGCCAAATTAACCAATTCCTGCAAAGCCCTTCCAACCCAGCTACCCGGACTACCTGTGCCCAGGCAAATCATTACAGGACGGACGACTTTCCTGCCCCTTGAGCCCAGCTCCCCGAGAAAGGCTGGGCGGACATCCCGAGCCCTGCCCAGGGTTTCCTGCAGCCTCGGCACCGCTCACCTCGCTCATGTTGGCTTCAGCTCCCCAGCGCGTCCCGCCACTCAGCACAGAGAGCACTGCTCGGGGTCCTGCTCCGCCGTCCTGGCTTTTCTCTTAAAAAGAGCTGCTCGGTGGCATCATGCCTCCCGCCAGCCAATCAGAGACCTTCACCTGTCTGCAAGATGTAGGCATCCAAGAGCACCTGGAGCCCCCTACCGGAGAGGAGCGGCATGGCAGGTCCCTGCCTCTGGTCCAGCTGGGAGGAGCAGGTGGAGCAGGAGAGAGAAAAGGGAGAGAGGGGCACGGGGACAGACTGCTCTCACTGTGGCGTATGGAGGAGCGCTATTTGGCTTTTGCTTGTTGACTTTGTGGCCTGCCGCTTTGCTGAACATGCTTCCTGGCTTCTAAGAGTCTCGGGTGGAATTCGAGGGTCTTGGGTTACAGGATCCAGCCATCTGCAAGCCTGGGTGACTTCTCCCTCTTCCTCTCCTGTTTTTTATTTCTTTCTCTTGCGAGGTTGCTCTGGCTCAGACTCTGAATCCTATATTTGTAGGAAAATAGATGGATCATGGGATCACCATTCTAGGTGAAATAAATCCAACTCAGAAGGTAAAGTGGTTTTGCTATGAAAACGTCAAAGTATGAACAACATAAAGAGTGAATCAAGGAGCGGTGGAAGGGCAGAGAAGGGAGACTTTAGGAGATGGAAGGGCTCAGAGGGAGGGGAGCGGATGAGGTACTGAAGATGCTACGTGTGTGTGGAGCAACTTGCCAACCAATGCGATGACTATGTGCCACAAACATACACTAATAAATTTTATTTTAATTTAATTTAAAAGCTTAAAGAAAGTAACACAAAGATGGGCACTGGGGTGCTGTTTGTTGGTCTGCCTGCAGGGGACAGGGGACACACAGAGAGATGCACTGCAAGTATTAGCCGGAGAGAAGAATTCTCACCACCCCCAGGATGCAGTCTCCCACCTTTCCTGGCTTTCCTGGAGCTTCTCAGGTCTCTTCCCTGCCTCAGTGGCACAGGCCTGGCCTGGGGGGGGGGGTCACACATCTGTCGCTCTGCCTCTGCCCCAGTCTGTTGGTCTGCTGGGCCCAGCTGTAAGGACACAAGCAGATGGACTCAGAGTGGGATAGCATACTTAACCACGGCTGGGCATGCTTAAATGCCCACGAATCCCCTGAAAGATACCTCCCCCCTCACACACTCATCCCATAACTCCAGCTGCTTTTTGAAGCTGCTCTGAGGTCTTTTCCAAATGGCTTCAGAACATGTGATCAAAATTCAGTGAACGCTACTGCCCAGTGCATCCAGAGGAAAGGCAGGCTCGTGAAAACATACTGCTGTATCTTTATCCATCTTAGTCACAAGATCTGGCATTGTGAGGACCCCAGTATTTTCTGCAAAGTCCAACCCTCTAGAGGAATGTTACAAGCACACAGAAACCTGCAAGTCCTTAGGAGCAAGGCCGCCCAGCCAGATGACACCTGTCTTGAGGTCTTAAACCCTCAGCAACAGAGTTCATAACCCTCCCTGTATGGCTTTGCCAGCTGGGTTCTCTCCATAGGGACAAGCAGAGGGGGCACAGAGAACCATCCCCCCCCACTGACCCAGTTGCAGAAGATCTCGCCAGTATGGGCTGGGGTCCCAAGGGGGCTTCCAAGATGAACTTCTGGGGGACTGCGAGGTGGGGCTGAGGCCTCACCCCACAGAGGACAGCAGGCAGGGTGGGGGGCACTGAGGGTATCTTTTTTAAAGACAACAAAACAGTAATAAAAAGCAGCTTAGGAAGGATATAAAATTTCACTAAACAAAATAATAGGAATTCAACAATGGTTGTTGTATTGTAGGATGTTATCTTCAAATTAGTTGTTTAGGCTACCACATATAAGTGTGTAAAATTGCTTTAGAAAAACTTACAAAAAAGTTATAAGAAATTACAAAGAAAGAAAAAGAAAAAAATTAAACATTAACTGCCCCTTTCAAGACCAGCAGAAATTGGCAGTACAATTATACAAATTATCCTACATATATACATAAATATTTTTCCCTTCTTTATTTTGTCCTTTTACTCAGCTCTATTTTTCCTTCCCATTGAACAAATTCTTTCCCTTTCACATTACCCATTTAGATTTTATTTATTCTTCCAGGTTCTCATCCTAGGGAGACAATATGATGTTTGCACATGTGAGTCTGATTTATTTCACTTACCAATCCAGTCTCTAGTTGCAACCATTTGTCTACAAAAGCCTCAAATTTATCTTTTTATAGCTGAATACTACTCCATATACTCCATTGTATAAAACTACCATGTCTTTTTTATCCATTCCTCAGTTGATGGGCTTTCTGATTGTTTCCAAGATTTAGCGATGACAAATTGCACTGCTATAAACATAGAAACACATATATATTGCCATATGATGATTTCCGTTCTTTTGCAAAGATACCCAGGAGGGGAAGAGCTGGACTGAATGGGACCTCCAATTCTAGCTTTTTGAGGAACCTCCCTACTGATGTCCATAATGGTTGTACTAGCCTGCAGACACCGAGGTCTACAAAGGCTCAGAGAGGTAGGTGATGTCCTGGGGTGCATGGGGCCCAAGGCCCAAATCCATATGCTAAACTCCTGCTCTCCAGGACCTAAAATGTGAATGTTTATTTATGTAGGGTCTTTACACAGGTGACTGTGTTACAGGAAGCCACTGGGTTGTCCCTGCTCCAAAACCCCCAGTGTCATAAGAAGAGGCAACAAGGACAATCACAGAGGGAGGACCACAGGGGACAGAGGGTAACAACACCATCTATGAATGGAGAAGAAGTCTCAGGAACCTTGTCCCAGAGCCCTGGTTTCACTGGGCAAGGACCAGATCCGTGTTTGGAGCCGAGGCTGTGGCATCTCTTGGGACAGTGGTGGCAAACCCACACTGACAATGAACCCTGAGAAGACTTGGGTAGGGCCAGGAGCCCAAGGGAAGGCTGGAGTTACTACCAGCCACGTAGGGTCATCACCTGCCATGTGGCTGGCAGCCTTCAGCTCACCTCTTGGGGTGGTCAGAGAGCAACCTTAGCTGGCAGGGAGCACAACATAGTGCCCAGCCTGGGCAGAGAAGCAGACCTCACATGTGGCTGCTGGGGCAGAACCACGCTGCTGGGGAGGGTCACTCGTGGGCTTCTGAGATCCACGCATGTAGCCCACATGCTCCCACGTGGGCCATGCCCCCGCCCACACCCATACCTGCACACATACACCTCTACCACCACCACGCAGGAGCCCCGTGGCCCAGACCCAGGATCGCAGGGGCAGCCTGGGCCTCGACTTGGGACCCAGGACAAGGACAGTGGACAGTGATGCACTTAACCTCCCTGGGGCTGTGCAGTGAGGGCTGCTGTGTGTAACAATATGGGACACACACACTATCACACACACAATAAAGCACATATAAAATGTACGTACAACACACCCACATACTCACACATACAACATGTAGTGTACACTCACAACCCACACAAGAAAACATCACATCCACCAACACCACACAAATGCCATATCCATATACAACACATAACACACACACACCAAACACCTCATCCATCACAAATTGTACACACACCACATACCACATATTGCATATATCACACAAACATCACACACATACACAACAAAGGCCACACACTCACAACCCATACACTAAACACCACACCCAACACACACCACATAGACACCACGCACACTAAACACCACACCTGCCACACACCACATGCATCAGACACAGACACGGTACATGCACACACATACACACAAACACCCACTCCACTCCCTCGGAACTTTCCAGGCTTGCCCTTCTCCTGCTCCACCCACTCCCTCCTCTTGCTCTTTAGGGTATGCCGAGCTACTACCTTCCCTCATGCCACAATTCCCTCAACTGTAGAGTGGGGTCCCAGAGCCCCTCTGGGTACCAGAGTCTGCAGATATGAAACCCCTCATGGAAATGCACCAAGCTTCCCCACACTAAAGTGTGCAAGATGACTCGTAACACCCATCGCAGCGCAAGCCCTGTATGATCCGCGTCTGCTGTATTGCTGAGAAATAATGACAGGGAAAAGCGCGCATGCTCTGAACAGCTAGAATTATTTTCAAATGTTTTTAATCCATGTTCGGTTGAATCTGGACATGGAAGGCTGGCCATGTGTGCTTCTGAAGCAAATGGTGCCACCACACCCAGCACGTGACTTCCTTCATGACATCCACGTGCTACCACACAAACACGGAATCAGGAAGCAGCACTTAGAGCCTGAGGCCCTGACGCGCGGCATGTTCTATGGGTGGACCTGGGAAGACTCTCCCTAGCTCAGCGTCTGATTCCCTCCAGGGAGAATATAGCGATCTTAAGTCCATGCACCTGCCAGCCTAAGCAAAAATACATGTACTCTGTGAGTTGAGCTGAGAAAGAAATGTTGAAGGATTTCTAGAGGATTAGACTATAGCTTCGGATGTTAGGCCTTAGGGAGTGCCTCCCATTTGCTGTGTTAAAATATAGACCTTTTGATCCTTGATTTATGAAAAATGTACAAGAATGGTGTGATCTAAAAGTATGATGGATATATAAATTTCTAAGCATTTAGTTTAGTAAAAGACACTTTGTAATATAAGTACCCAGCACTAACTGATTGCACCACTGGAGCTTCAAAAGGCACATTGTTAAAGCTGGGCATAGTGTCACAGACTGTAATCCCAGCATTTGGGAAGCTAAGGCAGGAGGACCATTGCAAGTTCAAGATCAGCATTGGCTACAAAGTGAGCTCAAAGCCAACCTGAACTTCATAGTGAGATACTGTCTCAAAAGGACAAATGAAAAAAAAAAAAAAAAAGACACTTCATTGTTAATTGCCCTCAAAACACTCTCCTTCATTTGAACATACTCATCCCACCTTCCTTGCCGCTTTCTGCAGCAGCTCTAGCATGTTCTTTCCTGGGGTCTTTAGCGGTGCTGCCCTGGCCTCCCCATAACCTATGTATAACCTGAGTCCATTCAAAACATTTGGGTCCATTTCTTTCTTGTGGTAGTTTTGACTTTGTGGAAGAGCTGGAAGTTGCACAGAGGCAGACCCGGCAACTTTCTGCTGATGGAGCTCAGCAGCAGTGCCACTGTAATTCTCATCACACCTTGTGAAGACCCCCCAGGAAAGAGCACCCAGAGCTGCAGCAGGAAGTGGCCAGGAGGTGGGTGAGTGTGGGCAAAGATGGGCAGAATTTCGAGAGGGCTTCACAACAGTACACCTTTTACTAGAACAATTTTTTAATTAAAACATTTTTTTCATTTGATGGGGGGGGAATGCACATGCAATGAGGACAGACTATTCTCATCTGCTGGAGGCGCAGTCCAGCCTGAAGGCCAGGGCTGGGCCAGGCGGCCCTTGGGAATATCTACAGTTATACCATATGCTGATGATCTCGGTCTTCCCACCACGAGACTTCTACCTAACGCAACATTTGTGTTTCCCTTCAGGCCTGTGAGGCATTTTGGAAAGCACGCACCTAATGCTGCATTTCTCACCCCCAGTGCTTCCTGTCCTCATGCACAGGACTCCTGACTTCCTCCACATAGAGTATGGTGTCCTCTTTGCCCCTGCACCCTAAGCTATCAGCCTGGCAGAGCATGCAGTGCCCTCCTAGGATTGAGACCCATGCCCTGGCCTCTGAGGTCCCCTCCTGCCAACCTTCTCTCCTCCCAGCCAGCTGCCAGGGAAACCTATGGTACCTTGCAACACCTGCCATAGGCAGATCCAGGGGCTCCTACCTTCAATTCCCCGCTTCCTTCCTGCTGCTGTGAATATCATTTCTTCGCTCCAAACACCAACTCTCTGGACCTCTCTGGTCCCCAACCAGAAGGCTGCCTGCTTCTCCACCCAGGCATAGAAGCAGCAAAACCCCACAGCCTCTCCTGGGTACTCTCATCGATGTCAGCGGTGTATTAATAGTGCACTTGTTGAGCTAGCTCTTGCCTCAGATTTCCTGGACATTAAGCTTCTTGAAAGAGGAAGAGG